CTTGTCACACATTGTAATGACCAATTCACACCTCAGACCTCTCCCACCCTTGGAAACAAAAGATATGTTAATGACCATTCACACCTCAAATTCCTCATGCAGACCCCCTGCCAGGTGGCCTTAATGACTGTAAGGGACCACCAGGCGGTACCACTAGCACTCCACTGGCCAGGCGTCCCCAGCGCACGGTATCTAAGCCCCAGGGTACGTGTTCACCAGAGCACCTGATGGTGGGGATGGACTTGAAGTACCCCGAGACCAGGTCGTGGCTACTGAGCACGCCCGTCAGTGGTAGCGGTATTCGCCAGGGGCTCCCGCAGGGAAGAGCCTGATGTGAGGAGGTCGGGTGATCCCGTCGGGATGGATGGATGGCTGAGCAAGTGCGGGGTCAAACGGGCCTGGTCGGTAACAGTGGGGACGGAGCAGTACAAGGCAGCGGGCAGAGAGTAGTCGGGTCACACGCCAGGTCAGCAACGGAAGGTCAGATCCAAACAGGGGCATTCAGGAGAGAGGTCAGGCAAAGCAAGGGTCTGGGCAGGAGAAGGCAACAAGGTCAGGTATAATCCGGGTCAATAACTTACTAGAACAGGTTCGCAGATACAGGATACAAGGGAAGACCAGAAGGCACTGAATGACAGCTCAGGGCCGTTTAAATATCCCGCCCTGCGCTGCCATTGGTGCCACGCGCGCGCCCGCGGTCCCCACTGCGCATGCGCGAACTCCCTCGCCGCGGACGGCCAGGTCTCAGTGCCCGCATTCTGACACGGAGCGGTGCACTGCGCCTGCGCCGAGCCCGTCGCAGCGGGGATTCCTGACAATGACTCCCCCCACCAGACACCTTTACCACACTTGGAAACAAAAGAAATGTTAATGAGCAACTCCCACCTAAGCTAATCTCAACACATACTGCTGTGTCTGCTTCTACTCTCTGTATTTCTCTGAAACTGTCTGAAATAGTTAATAATTTACCACTTTTCAGTGCATTTTGGACATTTGGGAGGTTCTCCTGTGCTTATCTTTAAAAATAAAGCTTCTAAACGCAAACATGCCTAAACACGCATAAACGAGCATAAACGCATTATGCAAACGTGGCTAAACAAACTTTTTTTTAATCTACGTTTTCCAGCAGTCTCGTCCATCATTCAGAAGTATCCCGTGTACACGGGGCCTAAGAGTGTTTTACTATTGTGGAACTGGGGATGTAGATGCATGGCGGCATTGGTGAATCACGTTCCTCTATAGTAGGTGGAAGCACCTGAGACAAGAATTTTAGTTGGCTGTGTGTCAGAGGCCATGCTGGCTGACCATGTGATCATTCCACATTTTATATCGGGCACATTTACCCCCTCCCTGCCCTGGCCATTTTTCAGCTTTCAGCGTTGTTGTTCTCTGGATGACAATTGTGCAGTCATGCAACACTCTTCCTATCTGAAATTTTTTATAATTTTTAGTAGAGATTTCTTTTGGTGGTATTTAATCACCACTGGGCTTTTTATTTTTTTTGTGCTATAAATGAAAAAAGAATGAACATTTTGAAATAAAAATTCATTGTCTTTGTTTCTTTTATAAAACTTTGGAAATAAATAATCTTTCTACACAAATGTATGGCAAAATGTATTCTGCTACAATTTTGGGTGAAAATAACCCAAATCAGTGTTTATTATTTAATTGGTAGGAAAGGTATAGTCCACAAACTATTGTATACAGTATATCTCAAAAATAGATAAATCCTGATATACTGATGGTCTATCTCTTTTCTTGCGTCCCAAAAATGCCAGGATAGTAAAAATACCCCCAAAATGACCCCTTTTCAGACAGTCTGAGGTATGTAGTAAGAGGCATGGCACATTTTTTAAGTTGCATTTTTTTGTTATAATTTGTTATAATTGTGTTAGTACTGCTTAGACCTTGAAGAAGGGGACATTCCTCGAAAGCTTGTCCTCAAAATTGTATGTTAGTGCAAATAAAAAAAGTATCACGGACAGTACTCAATTGTTTCTGTCGCAAATGCACTAATACGGCTACAATCACCTCAATTTTTTTTTTTTAACATACTGTCACCAATGCAGTACAGTGTCATCATGTAACTGGTGCGTCAGTGATCAGGGACACTGACTGACAGCAGTATGTAAAAAATAATAATAATAAATAATACTTTTTTAATTTTTTTTTTTTAATTCTTTAAACATGTTTTTTCATTTTTTTAATTATTTTATTTTCTACTCCTGTGACCAGAGCAATAATATGCTCCCATATTAACATTGTACTGCTCTGGGTAAGTGATCAGTATTTTTTTTCCTACACATTATGATTGCTTATATCAACAAATTTCATTGGTATAAGCAAGCATTTTTACTGAATGAAACTAATTAATTCAGTAGTTTTTGTTTTGATCAGCTGTGGCTGACCACAGCTGATCACATGCTACAGATGGGCTGTGATTGGCCCAGTCTGTACATGTGACCACTGTGACCAATCACAGCCAGCAGCACAGTTGTAAGCAAAACATGGCATGAAGGGAAGACATTCATTGTTTACAACTGTCATGTGATCTGCTGTGATTGATCATATGACACTGGCAGCCAACTGGTGTAGTAATCTGTCATCAGCCGTGTCCAGTGGACACAGCTGGTGACAGATCGCATGGGAGCATGACCCTTTGGGGCATATCAAGGCACAATCCTGGGAGGACATCATATGACATCCTCCCAGGATAATCCCGCTCGCTCGTCATCTTGCAATAGGCCGAGCGGGAAGGAGTTAAAGTTGATATAAACCCAATCAGTAAAAGCTCATATAAGCCTTAAGATCATTTCAAAGGTTGTTTATAACTGGTTTCATTAAAAGAAAACTTGGTGATCTTGCTATGAAGGTCCTCATTCAAGTGAACTACAGTCTCCAATAACAGAACTGCAAGCAAGCGACATGCAATGTGGGGAGAGAATCCCCTGCTCACTGACACAGTGAGGGATTGGGAGTGGAGTGGGGCTGATGCATTAGTAACATGTTACACCCTATGTATGTGGGTGTAACATGTAACACATTACTAAAGGTGAACTTATCCTGAAGACAGAAGGTTTTTTAACTACTTGCTAACCGCAGATAGCTGAATGACGGCTACACTGCAGCCGGCAAGTTCTGGGAGGATGTTATATGATATGATGTCCTTCCAGAACGAGCTCTCCTGTGCGCCCCCGGGGGCGCGCACCCGGCGATCTCCGTGATCGCTGTGTCCTACAGACACAGCTGATCACATGATGTGGTAAAAGGCCAATCACAGCGGCCTTTTACCACATGATCAGCCGTGTCCAATGACACGCTGATCACCAGGAAATGCAATTGCCGGTTCTCGGCTGCACTTAACTTGCGCTGTCAGAGTGTGAGGAAAGTAATGCCGAGAACCGGCAGTTGTCTCAGAGCAGGGATCGTCACCGATCATCAGGGCACTGATGATTGGTGCCCAGCAGTGCCACCCACCAGTGCTGCCCACCTGTGCCCAGCAGTGCACCCACCTGTGCCCAGCAGTGCCACCCACCTGTTCCCAGCACTGCCCACCAGTGCCACCCAGCAGTGCCACACACCTGTGTTCAAAAGTGCCACCTACCTGTGCCCAGCAGTGCCACCTACCTGTGCCCACCCACCTGTGCCCATCAGTGCCACTCACCAGTGCCCATCAGTGCCGCCCAGCAGTGCTGCCAGTCAGTGCCACCAGTCAGTGCCCAGCGGTTGTGCAAGTCAGTGCCCAGCAGTTGCACCAGTCAATGCCTAGCAGTGCCGCCAGTCAGTGCCCAGCAGTGATGCCAGTCAGTGCCACCTATCAGTGCTGTCTATCAGTACCTATTATCAGTGCCACCTATCAGTGCCGCCTATCCGTGCCACCTCATTAGTGCTGCCTATCAGTGCCGCCTATCAGTGCTGCCTATCAGTGCCGATCAGTGCTGCCTCTCAGTGCCCTTCAGTGCTACCTCATCAACGCACATCAGTGAAGGAGAAAAATTACCTGTTTGAAAAATTTTATAATAGAAACAAAGAAACTTTTTTTTTTCAAATTTTTTGCACTTCTTTTGTTTATAGCGCAAAAAGTAAAGCGCACAGCGGCAATTAAATACCACCAATAGAAAACTCTATTTGTGAGAAAAAATGATAAAAATTTCATATGGATACAATCTTGCATGACCGCGCAATTGTCATTTAAAGTGCAACAGCGCTGAAAGCTGAAAATTAGCCTGGTAAAGAAGGGGATATAAGTGCCCAGTAGGCAAGTGGTTAAATCTTCTGTGTGCAGCTCTCCCCCAGCACCCTCTTATACTTACCTGGGCCTGTTCTCAATCCAGTGATGTTCACCAAAGCAGAGTCTCTTCCAGCTCTCTCTTCTCATTGGCTTAGAGACAGCAGCAGGAGCCATTGGCTCTTACTGCTGTTAATCACAGCAAGTGAGGAGAGAGCTACAGGCAGGGCTGACACACACACAGCATGGCTCAGAAGCAAGCCCACATGAGTTCCCTCCAAACCAAGCGGCTTGGGGAGAGGCTAGGAGCTCCGGCAGGGTGCTCAAGAAAGGGATGATCAGAGCTGCTCTGTGAAAAACTTTTGCATCTTTGCATCTGTGATGTGCTTTGTTACACGGAAGTGACTTTATAAAAAAGTTTAGGGTGACTGGAAAGTGGGTGATGTATGTATGTATGCTCTTGACTTATGAAATTACAACTGCTATCCTTTTGAGTCATTTGATATGACTGCCTCTTGTGTGTGCCTTCTTATAATATACAGTAAACCATGATTGATTCATATCTCATGAGGGCTTCTGTGTGTCTTAGACTGTCTTCCTCATGGTCACAATTGTATACAGTAGATCATCCAGGTATTGCTACTGGTTTGAGGCACATTTACAGTGACAGTTTTTTGAGAAAACCCATCTTTGTTTATACCTGTGGCTGGACAATTACTGTATTAAATTTACACAAGACTTGGAGGTTTTGCCCCAACATGTGGTTTATCACCAATGCAGGGGTGGACTGATCATTTGGAAACTCGGGCACTGCCTGAGGGCCTGGGGTCAGTAGGGGGCCCCATGAGATGCCCCTGGTACCTTTTTCATAGGCTTTTTTGAGTTTGGGCAAGGACTCAGGGGCCCCATGATCCCCTATTGCCCGGGGGCCCCATGAGTTGTCAGTCCGCCCCGGCCCCAATGCTATTCTGCTTTGTAGCATGCTTGAATGAAGGTGAAGAACTTGCATTTTCATATACTCTGTGGTGTCTTTTCCTGTGCAAGTGCTGTTTTTGGAGGGTTCTGTATGTCCCAGTGTTGAGAATCCTGTGTTTTCTGTAGAACCAAAAATACTGTATATAGAAACCCTACCTTGTCAAAGACTGAAACATCTTTATTATACAACACACTTGGGTATTTCGTTCTAATCTTTATTTTACGTCTTTTACTAGAAATGCTACCTTGCTTTTAAAATATGGCTCTTTGCAATCATTATTATGATCAAAATATTTGAAGAAATTTGCATCCTTATTGAATTTGTGGAATTACAGCTATATAAAACTCTGTCAATTCAAAGAGCTGGTTACAGGCTTTTTCTGTACTACGGTGCTGTGAGTATCTGTGTCTTTCTGTGGAATTGGTTAACAGATATATCACCAGCACATCAAGGATCTCCAAAATAGCGTCTAAAAGCTTTATTAACGTGATCACATTGTAGCATAAAGTAGTGATGTCTCGAGGCCACACAGGACCCCTTCTTCAGGTTGATTGCCTGAAAAAGGAATCTTGCATTGACCAGGGACATTGCTACTTTATACTGTTATGGGATCAGTTTAATAAACCTTTTGGACACTATTTATGAGATCCCTGGTGTGCTGGAAATATATCTCTTAATCTGTGCTATATTCCAGTTCCTAGGCGGTGGCCGTTGCAGCATCCACTTATCTTGCAGCCATCCTAGGAACGTGTGCATCGAGAATATTTTTTGGACTTTCAATGGAATTGGAGACACTCAAGATACTTCGAGTAGGGGCTCTGGAGTGTCAATAGGTGTCATCATAGTGTTGCCTAGTTAGCCACTAGAGGACCCCAGATTAATGAATAGGGGGTGAGGTAGGGCTATCCCTGCACCTGGCAGTGTGGGGCATCTTGAGAAAGAGGTTCCTGTATATATATAGTCTATTGGAAGTCTGGACATCATGGGGAGTGTGGCAAGGACCAAACCATGACAAAGAGGCTCTAGCTTTGGAGAGCTTCCCCTTAGAAAGGAGGAAAGGTGCAGGACTTTTGGGACTACTCATATCCCCTTTGCATAGGATTCAGGACTCTGGCAGACCCCCTAAAAGAAATGGACTTCTCAACTTGGCTCTCTGCATCATTTGCAACATAAAAGAGAATGCTGTCACTTCTGTGGAAACTGAAATGTGTAAATAAACTGGTTTAGTGAACAGTTTAAAGACTTCCTGTTTATACTCTTCCTTCCTCTAACCTCAAGATGGGGATGTCCTCTGAAAACTACATAGTGCTGGTTGAGGCTACTATTGGAATCTATTGCCCTAAGGCAAGTATTGAGGCAAAATATTGGTGGTTTTGATTATGCCAGGCCGGGAGCCATGGTTACGTATTAACCAGACCCAAGGAAATGCCCAGGGGAAGAGCCCATACCCAAGGAACCTGGTGAGACCAAGGGGACTATTCTATGTGGGCAAGAAATGGGTTAACAAGAGTGGGTGCTCCCTTACTAAGTGCATGTGAAGTTCCTGCAGCTCAACATTCAGCCAAGGCACTACACAACTATACTTACCTTGTCTAATCTAAAATACAACATAATGGTGCAAGAAGTGAACATTGAGCACCACATCCTCAAAGTAATAAGACTTTTAGGTGCCAAAACACACAAGTACAAACTATCTGATAAAACGGTATAATTGTTCTTTATTGCATTGTCAAACACAAACAACCATTAAAATAACAACTTTGCAATAGTCGTCATATTGCAGTTGTATTTTATACACACGAAAAGAGAACTCAAGGTTTAAAAATGTATTTTGCCTCTCAGCCACCCATATATGTACATCAAATGATATTTTTCATATTCTGCCTGTGTAGTATACCAATATGACAGTTGTAAAGAAGAACCACATCACAATTGTAAATCATAGAAAATAAAATGCAGCGCTGCAATCTAGGATAAAAGAATAGTTCATATAACCTTCATATGGATTTTATATAGAGACCCTGAAGAAAACCTTGAAGAAAATCTCTTCCTTATAATGTGTTGGTGATTGGAACTCTATAGGAAAAATGCGCACTCACCGACCGCGCATTGTAAATGCGCATGTATATGACCATCAACCCAGGTAACCAGCAATCACACGGTTCATCCCTCAGAGGTAAATCATCAGCCTTGGGTGTAGTAATATACAGTAGAACTCATAGATCCCCCTTAACCAGTGAATGGACAGCCTAGATGAATGGGCTCCCTCTTCTGGATATAGGATGAACTGGAAACCAGCTGCTGTGGATCTGAAACCCTCAATGTAGGGTCAAGACAAAGAGGGATTGCCAATAGTGTAGTAAGTTCAAACTATTTATTGGTCACATGCAGTAAAATCCATGGGTACATGTACAGGTAAAAAAACTGCCAGCATTAATGGAAGTGAATAGTGTACTGACCCAGCAAGGAAAATGGCCGCCGGACCTCCTCGTGGTCGCGGCGGTGGATGACGTCACACGTGCTGTCGGAGTTCTACTGTATATTACTACACCCAAGGCTGATGATTTACCTCTGAGGGATGAACCATGTGATTGCTGGTTACCTAGATTGATGGTCATATACATGCGCATTTACAATGCGCGGTCGGTGAGTGCGCATTTTTCCTATAGAGTTCCAGTCACCAACACATTATAAGGAAGAGATTTTCTTCAAGTTTTCTTCAGGGTCTCTATATAAGATCCATATGAAGATTATACAAACTATTCTTTTATCCTAGATTGCAGCGCTGCACTTTATTTTCTATGATTTACTATACAAGGTCTTTGTGATTCCTTTGAGTGTTCTAGCAGCTGAATATATGAGCGCTCGCTTTACTCCTTTATCACATCACAATTGTAGCTTATATAGGCGGTGGTTGAACTTGCTCAATGAGTTTCACTGTCTGCTTCCTCAGAAGAGGCGATATAAGACATTAAAAAACAATAATTTATCAAAGTGGTCCAGTGGGATCAGAACTTCACCCAAACCATAGTTGCTTAGTTTACCTTGTTTACTGAGGAACACCTTGATTTAGAAAGAGTTTATGTAGTTGATTACCTATGATTTCAAACTTGACTATAAATACATATATGGGGACTGTTCAGCATGACCCATCCTCATATTTTAAATTATTTCAACGTGGTATTTTTTTAAAGGGCTATAAAGAAAATGTTGAAAACGCCAGTAAAGTATTTTTATATTTTGAATATCTATTTGTGGTTGATACCCTAAGCTTTTTTTTTTTATGCTTCATGTTCATTATGTTTCTTTGAAGTCTGGGTATCTTCCAGCTATTGTTTATATATAGGATATGACAAGTTTCTTTTGACAGGAAAGTTAAAGGCGAATAATGTGTACCTCCCCTGCATAGCGATAGTTGACAGGTGTTCTAATCCTTCCTACTCTATTCAAAACAGGAAAAGAAAAGTTTTGACTATACATATACTTTAAAGTTTTTGTCTCTGAAGACTACAAATCAAAAGTATTCCAGTTCAGTTTAAAAACAGCAAAACATACAAAAAAACATTAAGCAATATACATGAAAATACAAGGTAAACATTTTGGAATAAAGGACTGTCAATCACAGAGGAACTGTCGACATCAGCACTTCCCCTGCCTTTCCTTACACTGTATTTTATGTGTTGGTTACTCCTGCTCTTTCCTTGCACATTATTATATGTCTATATGATTTTTTTAGACCTGCTTTAATTGAGGGTTTTAAAAGAATTAGCATAATATTCATGTTTACCCTTCAGAAAAACTGCTTAAAGGAAAATAATATTTTTTTTTTTTTTTTTGCACTATTTTAAGAGTGGAGTGTTGTTACATATATATTTAAAAGATAATGCACTATTTATTTTTCTTTTTACTTTTTTGAGGTTTTCATGGAATATTTAGGATCATTTTCCTTCCAACTGGGTTGAAGTGGAAAATTTGGGACCTTGGCATTGGACACATTTTGGATTTATTTGAATTTTGGGACATATTTGAGATTGAATTTGATTTGGTCACAATTTTTAATTTAATTGTATTAATTTTGAGTGCATCAATTAATTTTGTGTGTGGAATTTTATTTTATTTTTGGGATTTATGTGGTTTATCACAAAAAGGATATGTTATATTGTATACTTTCTAGGGAGAAAGTGTGACCTTTTGGTAGGAGTGGAGAAGGAGGTTATTTGTTTATTGATTAAAGGAAAAGATGGTCACATCTTTTACAGATCAGCTTAATGTACAGTTTGTGGTATTTTTCAACAAAAGCTGTTTCTATGTATATACTACAGAATAGCTGTGCCTGAAAATGTGTCTAGACAAAATGAAGGTACAATATGACCTCTGAAAACCTTTAGAGATTCAAAAAGTTGCACTTTAAGCTCTTGCAAGCTTTTCCCATTCCCACCTTCAGTTGGTTGTGTTGGTGTCTGTCAGTAGGCATGAGGTACATGTTGATCCTGCCCAAAATTTGTGTTGTCTCATGTCAGTGAGTGCCTTACTGTTTAGATCAGTTGGGTATGGTAAAAAAAAAAAAACCCTCTGTATATAGCCACACAGTGGCTAAGTGGTTAGCACTTCCACCTGGTTGCACTAGTGTCATCAGTTTGAATCCCAACCATGGCACCACCTGCATGCAGGTTGCATGTTCTCCCTGTGCCTGCATGGGTTTCCTCCCAAACTCAGCCATGCCGATAGGTTAATTGGCTGGGACTGATGTGAATGTATAATATGTATATATAAAGGGCTGCATAAATTGATGGCGCTATATAAATACCAGAAATAAATAAATATATAGCAGTTGCCAGTCAAGGAAGCTATGTTAGTACAGTGAAATATAGACCTCCCTCTAGTGGTTAATCTACAACATTCGATTTATGGGACTGTTCTGTTTAAATTGCAGCTTTATGCATCAACATACCTCCTTAGACCGTCTGTCCATACATTATGGTCACCTGATGACTTGGCACCATCCACAGGCAGCTTAACTTTCCAGTAAGACACAGAAGGTGAAACCAACACAGATTTAATTCAGCTAACTGCATTACAGAGGAGGTTTTTTCAGTCTTTTGAAGTGTAAAAAGACAATAGCTTTTCTAAGCCCTGTGTTTATCAAGTACTAACACTGACTGAGGGGACATGGAAGAAACAAGGGGCCTAACTGGATTAAACTAACTAGCACTAAACAGGAGGGGTCGATAGAGGAAGATTACTAAGATGTACTAAGATGCCCACAACCACCATAAGATGTCAGCATACATCCAAATAAAAGAAACCTGATGTAGTTCATGACAACACAGAAAAAATATATTTAAGTGGGACAGAACGGATACAATAGTGGAGATATGCTACAGGAGGCATAAATGTGTGAAAGTCGTATTAAAGACTACTTTGAAGTAAACACTGTAATAACAACTGTTTTTTTTTTTTATTGAAAATACTTTGTATTTTCTGCCACGGACCCTGCATTCACTATATCCGGTCTCCCCGGACCCTGCATTCACTATATCCGGTCTCCCACAGTACACAGAACATGGAAATGCAATTATTTTAGTAAATATAAACTGCTATTTACCTTTTCTCATCTGCAGTTAAAGCAGTCTTGTGACTTCAGCAGAGCACTGGTTAAAGCTTGTAGGATGAGTTTTCTTTTTGCTCTAAAAAAGATGTAGGATGTGAAACCCCTGACCTCTGTCTGGACAGTGCTGATTGGTCCTGTGCTGATCACATGCACTCTCCCAAGAAAAAAAAAACCTCTCTACAATACACACCAAACTATGCATGTGCATGTGACCATGGGTTCAGTCTGTATCAGGTGATCATTTCAACAAGAGGAGGGGCAGAGAAGACAGGATCAAACAGCCTTTTTACACAATGCAGAGGATTAACCCCTTGGGTTCTACAGTGAGTATAACAAGCATGCATTACTGCATATACAGACTGATTTTACTGTTGTGGGTTTAGTAACATTTTAAGTTGTCAAGGGGAGTTAGTTGGCTTGCCCACAAGTCCAGATGTAGAACAAATCTATACATCTCAGCTGCCCCTATAGGGGGTTGTCTTCATTTGTTTTGTTTTGTTTTTTTGGGGGGGTTAGTATATTTATTAGGATTATATATAAATAAGCACAAAAAAAAGAGCAAATAATAATTACATATTAATGTAATCAGAGACATATAGTATAACAATGAAGCAAGAAGATGGGACTTTACTGAAACACTTTGAAACATATTTGTGGAAGCCTATTGTAGATATAGAGAACGTATTTATGTTATCTAACGGGAAGACAATAGATATTTTTTGTGTTCAATTTGTTTTTGGAATGTTTAAAAAAATCATTTTAACTAGGAGAAAAAAAAAAGGAAAAAATAAGATCTATACCCTCTCTTTGATGTTGCTGAAAAAAAGAATGGGAAAAAAAAAACAGAACACTTCTTTTCTGGAGTGATGCCCTCCAGATTCCATCCAGGTACTGTCTTGACTTCTGCTTTCCACTCTTCCCCTGGTTATGTGGGAGAGAGGTTATTCATGTTGAGGGAGCAAATCAATATCACTCAGATTCATGGCAAAGCTTGGAAAGCAGCATTGAAGATAGAGCCTGACCAGATTCCTGGAGGTAGTATCATGGAGAATTAGTTGGCCTAAAGTTATCTTTGAGTTTAGGTCTGATTTTATGTAAATCACAGACTGGAGATATGAGGATGGTGATGATGGTAAATATTAATTAAAAAGCAAGAAGCGCCCAACTCTGGGCTGTTTTTTTTTTAAGTTACATAGGCGCCCAGGCAGGCTACAAAATGATAAAGAAGCTCTGACTGTGGTACTTATTTTCAGTCCAAAGCAGTCCCTGCAGTACCTCACTACTTCACTACATGATGTCCTCAGCATTATTCAGTCTGAGGATATCCTTTGAATTAATGGGCATCATGGTGCCCCTCATTCATAGTGAAATGAAGCAGAGAGCAGCCAAGAAAAAAAAAATAAAGAAGAAAACCCAGCATGCAATGTGTCCTGAAGATATCTACAAAAGGTAAGTATAAAAAAAAGCAAAGCTTTTACAGGAAAGTGGCAGACAGAGGGAAGTTGGGTGCAGAGAGCTAATCTAAGAGTTACCATAGGCATTTTAAAGGATTTATTTAACTCAGGAGCTGTGTTTTACATGGGACCAACGCCTACGTAAATCCCTGAATTTACCCACCTCACCTGGTTCTTGCAAAAAACGAACAATCTGACTCATCCATTTTACTGTAGATAAAGTGTACTGTATACGTAGTGTTATATACTGTATGTAGAAATGACTTGTGTATTTGTAGCAAGGACTTGTGTCTGGTGCCCCTTTTGTGTCATGGATGTTCAGTAGAGTAAGTTGGGTAGGGTTATGTTGATCAAAGCTGATTAAACATCAGGACTTTACCAGTTTATCTAATTTAAGACATTTGGTGTTGTCTTTATGCCTGCTGCTAACTGGGAGTTGAGTTTGCTACAAGTTTATTTTATTTATATAGGGTTCTTTAGATGTTTGCTAACCTCATTTTAGAGTGGATTGTCTTTGAGAGCTGAGGTGGGTGGGCTTGCAAGGCCTGAAATGTATGGATAGCCACAGACTGCAGGTAGAGATTGAGGTGGTCACGTTCCATTTGGGGGCAGTGACATGGAAAACAGTGGTTGTCAGAGATTTGCAGTATCTAATGTCTGGAACAAGAGTAGCCACACCTTTAATGATGTTATGGCTGATTCTTTTAACTCATTCAGGACAGCCCATGTATGCTCCATCTGTGGCAGGAAAAAGCAAGACTGAACTGAGGTCCTGTGTGTTGTGCCCTTGTATGTACATATGATCAGGTCATGTAGGTTCTCTTGCCAAGCTGGTGATGAGTTTATAGTGTTCTACTTGTCATTTTTTTCCTGTTGACCCTTTGCTTAGTCTACATCAGCCTTTCTCAACCAGGTTGCCCAAGCACCCTGGGGTGCCTTGAGGTTTCTTCAGGGGTGCCTTGGCAAAATGTCCAAAAATTGCCCAAAACTTGTATATAAGCCAGCAGGTGGGACAAGCCTACCTTTTAGTTACACAAAGCCACAGGTTTTCATTGTGCAATATTAAGACCTTCTAGCCAAAGGCATCCTGACAACCAATGACATCATCAGTTGATATGGAGCAGGGGCGGACTGACAGCTCATGGGGCCCCCGGGCAATAGGGGATAATGGGGCCCCTGTGTCCTTGCCCAAACTCAAAAAGCCTATAAAAAAGGTACCAGGGGCATCTCATGGGGCCCCATACTGACCCCGGCCCCCGGGCAGTGCCCGAGTTTCCAAATGGTCAGTCCGCCCCTGATAAGGAGGATGTCAGCTGCCTGCACAGCATCCTAGTTTTTTCCTCCCCTGCCCCTCTCCATCAGTGCTGGGGTCACATTAGCTCAGTGATGGAGAAAAACTGAGGGAGAAGAGAAACAATGGAATACTAGTCAGTACCAGTGTGCAAAATTGTATTTGAAAGAATAAATCACCTCTAATGTTGGGTGTCCTACATGTGTGAATGTTACTGTGTTATATAAAACTATTAGAATAGTTTTTCACATTTTACAATGGAGTAACCTTTTAAAATGATGGACAGTCTTGTAGCACGCCATTTTAGAATGAGGTGCCTCAAGACTATCCATAATTTTAAGGATGCATTGACTGAAAAAAGATTGAGAAACACTGGTCTACATTAAACCAAGTCTTTAGGATTACAGTCCTAACTGATTTAGTGAATGCTGCTCACCTCATAGCTCCGCCATGTCGGTGGTTTCCTAAAGAAAAGATCATCTCTTAACTTATGAAGTTGTGCACTTTGTTTTCGTCAAGGGTTGTCCAGTCTAAGGCACAAAATGGTTGCAACCATCAGATATAAATGCAATGGACCAAGCAGGGGAGGACTGACAACTCATGGGGCCCCTGGGCAATAGGGGATCATGGGGCCCCTGTGTCCTTGCCCAAACTCAAAAAAGCCTATGAAAAAGGTACCAGGGGCATGGTACTTCAGGCAGTGCCTGAGTTTCCAAATGGTCAGTCCGCCCCTGGGACCAAGTCTCTACTGGAGCTCATGAGACATGGAAAGAGGACCCCAAAAGCACAGACAGCTCTGCAGCACGTTAAGCTTTTACTTTTACCTGTATAATCTTTTAATCTTTCTGTTTTGTGACTAAAGTTTTCATTTTTTTCTTCAATAAAAGACACAGTGCAGATAGGTGGCAAGTTAAATATAAAAGTGGTGTATTTCTTTAAGAAAAAAAGACGACTGTGTCATTAGAACTAATTATAAAGCAAAGCTCTGAACACGGGCTACAGCAGGAACATGTGACACATATCTGTGGGTGGATGATATGAAATTCAAACATAAGTGTTCCCATAGGAATGTCTCATTCTCTTGTTTTCTATTTTCTGTAAAATACATAATTCACCTTCCTGTTTCAAGTAGCATGCCCTTCGTTAATGTGAGCCTCTGAGCTGTAGCTACAGTACATCTACCATAAGGAACTCGTGAGTCTGGATCTATAGCAGCCAAGTAGAAGGAGGCCACTCTAAAGCATACAGTATTTACAGCTTCTGTTATGTTATTCTCTTTCATTCTTGTCTTGTTTGGCAACCAATGAACATGGAAGTCAACTTGATGGGTAGGAAGTGCTGAGTCAGCTAGGAGTATTTACAAGTCTCTCAGGGGCTTAGGGTTTCTCGTTTTGCTTTAGGTTCCTTATGGTATCCTAAGGGCTCATGCAAATGTGTGTATTGGGGCAAATAATGTAAAACATGGCTGTATTTTGGCACCTGGGAGCCACAGGTGCTGTGTACAGCTGTCTACACAAATAAATTAGTGGATATGACTGTATATAGCTGTACGTGGGTGTATGCAGTTCCAAGCCTACATATGCATATAAATTTATACCCCTGGATCCATACTGTCTGCACCTGAGGCGTATGTCCCTACACATACATATAAACGGCCTCCCCGCCCCCTGCTTGTGCGTGCTCCCTGGTTATAAACTAATTTGGGTTATTTTTTTTTACTAAAAAGATAACTGAATAAATCTTGACCAATCACAGCTCACTCAGTACTTCTCAATGAGTGCAAGAATGCACACAGAGAGAAAGAGAAATGATTGCTTTTACACCCTATATGGGTGTAAAAGCAATCAGTGTAAAAAAAAAAAATTTTCATCACCCCCCACAAGTAGTACAGTGTCACCATCGTGACACTGTACTGCTAGGGCAACAGTATGTAAAAAAAAAAAAATATATATATATAATAAAAAAAAAAAAAAAAAATGTAAAAAAAAAATGTTTAAATATTATAATTTTTGGTTATAAACTAATCTGGATTTTTTTTTTACTAAAAAGATAAATTTTGGCAAAGATTTACGATGTAATATTATTTGTTTGCAACATTTTTAAAAGAAAAACACTTTTTTTTTCAACATTTTTGGACTTTTTCATTTATATAGCAAAAAAAAATAAAAATCCCAGTAGTGAATAAATACCACCAAAATAAAGCTTTACCTGTCTCAAACAAATGATAAAAAATTAATATGGGTACAGTGTTGCATGACCACGCAATTGTCATTCAAAGTGTGATAGCACTGAAAGCTGAAAATTGGCCTGCACAGGAAGGGGGTGAAAGTGTCCGGGCTTGAAGTGGTGAAAGAGAGATGTAGCATACAGGTCCCCATGATCTTAGAATGGGTCACCGAAATAGATCACATTGAATGTATGGAGTTACTCTTGAAACTCAGGAACTGGGGACTTAAAGGTGCCATAAAAAGGTGTAATAAAACTTGGATCTCCTGGAGAATATTTAGGGAATCGCAAGACCTCAAAAATCGTCTGAGTAGAAACTTGAAATAATGGATCTACCTTTTGGTGATTGGACCCATGGAGGTCATTCCCTCTTCCCTACCCTGTGCCCCTTTTCATTTTCCCTGCCTCTCCCCTTTTTTCCCCCCCGTCCTAGTGTATTCCCACTCTTTGCCCTACCATCTCCATTCTCCATAACATAACCTTTCTTCCTCTCCATACGCTCCTTACTTCTTTTCTTTATCTTTTTCTGATGTTATCACTTATTTTTTTTGTTCTATTTTATTTTCCTCCATTGCACTTTGGTTTTAGAAGTCTATCCAGGTGTATGGTATTTGTATTGCATTCTCACGTATGCCGACAATATTGTGCATGGAATTATTTGCTCTATGCCCCTTTATGCTGTACCACTTTTCACTCTTGGGATGTTTCACTTCCTCATCATGTTATTCAATGAAACTTTCCATTGCCATTTCCCATTTTTATCTATAATTCCCCTATGCACATTGTGACATATACAGTGATGACTAGATTGTTGATGTTCTGACCTCCTTTTCAGTCTGTCCGTGTTTTTCTGTATCTTGAAAAATATTTTTGAATAGAAACAGGTTGAACAAAGAGAGGTGTAGCTTGAGCTAAAGTACCCATCATTCACATGTGCTTATGGAAGCATGACCGATACAGCAACTGTTATTTGATGCAACATTGTAACCCTGGAAGGTCCACTATACAGGCTTATTGAGGGTTTTTCTTGCATCACTATCTCAATTAACAAAATGTACTTAAAACATTAAAAACAAAAGGGTCAGTCTACTCAAATTATGTTATGTAAATTTTAAGTGGATGCCAACAAGCTGAAACCTAAACCAGCTTTTTACTTCTCTTTAGGGCTCCCCTGATAACATATCTGTCTCAGTGTTCCCAACTCTGCCCTTTAGCTGCATTCACTTCAAGGAAGGTTCCAGGCTTGTGGTAGATTTCACTTGTTGCCCCCAATTGTTGGTGAACTATTGAGATACAACCATAAAATAACTGTAAAATGTTGGCTTTTCCATTGCTTTCTCTCCAATTCTGTAACAATTGTCATTGGATAAATACAGGTGAAACTCGAAAAATTAGAATATCCTGCAAAAGTTCATTTATTTCATTAATGCAACTTAAAAGGTGAAACTAATATATGAGATAGACTCATTACATGCAAAGCAAGATAGTTCAAGCCATGCTTTGTCATAATCATGATGATTATGGTTTACAGCTCATAAAAACCCCAAATCCACAATCTCAAAATTAGGATATTGTGAAAAGGTGCAATATTCTCGGCTCAAAGTGTCCCACTCTAATCAGCTAATTAAGCCATAACACCTGCAAAGGGTTCCTGAGCCTTTACATGGTCTCTCAATCTGGTTCAGTAGGAATCACAATCATGGGAAAGACTGCTGACCGGACAGTTGTACAGAAAACCATCATTGACACCCTCCATAAGGAGGGAATGCCTCAAAAGGTAATTGCAAAAGAAGTTGGCTGTTCCCAAAGTGCTGTATCAAAGCACATTAATAGAAAGTTATGTGGAAGGGAAAAGTGTGTAAGAAAAAGGTTCACAAGCAGCAGGGATGACCGCAGCCTTGAGAGGCTTGTCAGGAAAAGGCCATTCAAAAGTGTTGGGTACTCTCACAAGGAGTGGACTGAGGCTGGAGTCAGTGCATCAGGAGTCAGTGCATCAAGAGCCACCACACATCCTGAACATGGGCTTCAAATGTCGTATTCCTCTTGTCAAGCCGCTCCTGAACAACAAACAACGTCAGAAGCGTCTTACCTGGACTAAAGAAAAACAGACCTGGTCTGTTGCTCAGTGGTCCAAAGTCCTCTTTTCTGATGAGAGCAACTTTTGCATCTCATTTGGAAACCAAGGACCCAAAGTATGGAGGAAGAATGGAGAGGCACACACTGCAAGATGCTTGAAGTCCAGTGTGAAGTTTCCACAGTCTGTGTTGATTTGTGAAGCCATGTCATCTGCTGGTGTTGGTCCACTGTGCTTCATTAAGTCCAGGGTCAACGCAGCCGTCTACCAAGAGATTTTGGAGCACTTCATGCTTCCTTCCGCAGACGAGCTTTATGGGGATGCTGACTTTGTTTTCCAGCAGGACTTGGCACCTGCCCACACTGCCAAAAGCACCAAAACCTTGTTCAATGACCATGGGATTACTGTGCTTGATTGGCCAGCAAACTCAGCTGACCTAAACCCCATAGATAATCTATGGGGCATTGGCAAGAGAAAGATGAGAGACATGAGACCGAACAATGCAGAAGAGCTGAAGGCTGCTATTGAAGCATTCTGGTCTTCCATAACACCTCAGCAGTGCCACAGGCTGATAGCTTCCATGCCACACCGCATTGAGGCAGTAATTGCTGCAAAAGGGGCCAAACCAAGTACTGAGTACATATGCATGCTTATACTTTTCAGAGGTCCGATATTGTTCTATGTAGAATCCTTGTTTTATTGATTCTATGTAATATTTTAATTTTCTGAGATTGTGGATTTGGGGTTTTCATGAGCTGTAAGCCATAATCCTCACAATTATGACAAATCACGGCTTGAACT